GTTGAAGGTCGAAGGCACCGTGTTAGAAAAAGTCGTCGAGTGGTTGAACTTCCACAACGAGCACCCATTGATGTACCCGGACTTTGTTATTGGTGACAGAGACAAAAACGCCGACCTCCACCCATGGGATGTCAAATTCTGTGAGTCGCTTGAGAAGGACATGCTCTTCGAAATGTTGAAGGCTGCTACTTTCATGAACATCGATATGCTCGTCGAGGCTACTGCAAAGACAATTGCTAAAAATTTGGTCGGAAAGACCGTCGAACAGATGAGAGCTTACCTCAACGAGGAGAACGATTATACCCCTGAGGAAATCGAAGAGCTCAAGAAGAAGTACGCCGATTAAGTCGTTCTTTTTTAATTCTTTTCTTGTGGTTTCTTGTATAGTTTCATTTAAGAAAATGACTACTAAAAGTTTCTAATGGTTTTTATTAAAATAAAACTATATTTAAATTAAAAAAATATCACTTGGTTTAATTGACAGTGACAGGCGTTTCCAAAATGAATATTGCCGATAATGTGGTATTATAACGTACGAATTTATAAGAGAAAATGAACATTTCGGTTATAAAATGGTGACGTGGGTAGTTTGGATTGTGATTTTGGAAACCTTTGATAATTGATTTCTTGTTCTTGTATAACTATTAATTACTAATAAAATTATTATAAATATTCTATTTTATATAACTAATATTTTATTATAAAGTTACTATAATTATTTTAATTTAGTATTTAATCAAATTTCGTAGACACAATAAAATTATATCGTTAATTGAATAAAGTTTATTTGTTATTCGAAGCCAAATGTTTACCGATATAAAATGTTATATTTGATAGTAAAAATACTATAATTTGTTAATAAAAATGAAGTGCATGGAAATCGAATTTACTTTGAGGCCACCATCTTTGCCCCCCTCCAATTAGCCCAGTTAATTTTTTCTCTAGAGACGGGGAGTTGCCTTCTGAGGGACTTGAAAGTTGTGTCGTTCATAGTAGAAAAAATGACGTCGAGTTGTGAGTGAAGTCTTTCCTCGACTTCAGCGATTGATTTAATTAAATTTTTTGGGAAAGCGTCGTTTTTGGTCCCACACCCAACACTAAACTTTTTCTCCGACTCATTTCGCATTTGAATGTTAGCGTCTTCGTAGTAATGTACAAAGACTTCAACGGATCCAGTCACTTCCACATTCGAACTGTTTAAAGTCACATTCCACACACTCTTCCACCTCCCCGTGCAAAAATTTTTTGTTGTGTTTTGAATAGCGGAAATGACAATTTTGAGCTTTTGACCATTGACTAAGACCATTCCGGAGCCAAGTGGGTATTTTTCATCAGTGTAACTGCGTAAGTGTTGTTGGACATTTTTCCTTAAAATTTCTAAATCAGTGTTTTCTTTTATAAAAGGACGCGACTCAATCACTTTCATCTGATAAAAATCAATTTTGTGAATTTGTTGGTTGACGGGGTCATAGTATTCGTTTTGTGTTTTTTCAACTTGGTTATATTTTGTTAATATGATTTTTTTCCCCTCCGTCTCCACTAACAAACAATTGGTGTTACAATAATTCACTATAGAATCAGGAACTATACATTCAATGGCTTTGTGATCGGAAACTATGGATTTTAAATCTTTCACTAACTCAACATACTCACAAGGAGGAGATTGTAATAAAAAACTATTCAATATCTCTTTCTCGTGGGAACTCATTTTATTGTTTTTAAAGTTCACTTAATATTTTGAGCTTATGAGTATTTTCAAGTTCAAGGCATAAACAATTTTTGTATTTGAAAAATTAAGTTTATTATTTCAGTTATAATATAAGTATTTTTTTTCATATTTTTATTAAGTATGTGTTGAAACAAAAATTGGAAAAATTAAAAATGATATGCTATCGTTTTTTTATTTTCTTTGGATAAAAAAATCATTTTTAATTATTTTTTTAATATCAAATATTTAAGTAAAATATTACATATTTTATTATAAATAAATAAATTAAAATTGTTATTAACATAATTATTTTATACTATTTTATTTTTTAAAAATATTTACTATTGAAAGTAACTTCTTAATAATTAATAACAAAATTATTAATAATAGTTATTATTATTAACAAAAAATAAATTATAAAAAATGGTTTATTAATACACCAAGAATTCAATTATACATTTTCAATTTGATTTGTTATTGGATTACATGGCTAAAAATGGTTTATTAATAAATTTAATTAAATAAAAATTTTACTTTATAATTCGTATAGACAATTACACATTCAAAAAAAGTTCAACCTTATAAATAGAATCGAACAGTTTTTTATTTCAAAAAAAAATAAACCAATATTTAATAGTTAACAAACAATATTTTTAATCATTATAAAACGACCAATCGAAATAATGAACTATGTTGAAGTTGCATTGAAGTTGTATGTTTAAAACTATAATAAGAAATTCACTTCAACTAAAGTTCAATTATTGTGCTCAGTTTTAAAAAGTGAACGGTAAAACTACTTTTAACTGGAAAAGGGTACAAATGTTGAACTATACCGACTAATTATTTAAACTATTATTTATAGTTTTTATCTTCAAATAAAACATTATTGTTGTTTTGACTAAAATCGTCCGTTTAATTTATCAGGGTTTGCCAAAACAGAAAATCCTCCCACTTTTAACCATAACAATATTATATACGAAACTGCCCCGCTTTATATCGTATTCTTCTGCAATTACAACAACAATTTTTCGGAATGCCCAATAAATAGTTTTTGGCCGGATTAATTCAAAACCGCAACAGTTCTAAAAGAATCAATCGAGGGTTTTTATAGTACATTATACTAATAAAGAACTATATTAATTGGTTCATAAGATTCGCTTTTCGTAGGGAGAAGCAATACAACGTGCAAAACACAAAAAGAAGTCCGCACATAACATGCTTTAATACTTTTAAACGATAAAATCAATAAAATTATTTTGATTGAATAGGTTTGGTATACAGAGTTCATAAAATGCCACTTGCAAAAATTATTGAACACTTGTTGAACAGGAATACTCTGCAAACTCGACCATTCTCCCGAAATAACACAGAAGGACCCATTTCAAATAAGAAAATTATTTAGAATGAATAAAAAGGGATGTCTACAGGAACATGAAAACAAGACTATGGTCCAAATCGACGCATTCAACATGATGACTGTCTCAAAGTACTTCTGTACTCTTCAGGACTTCGCAACACTTGAAATGGTCTGCAGGAAGTTCAGAAATAACACGGAGAAGTTCCACTTCAACCCAATCCCTTTGACTCCAGCCACTAGAAAGTACTTCCCAAAACTGCAGACTCTTCATTTATACTCAAACACAGATTTTGCCTTTGGGAATTCGCCTGTATCACAAGACAACACTTCAGTTAATAAAGAAACCTTCTTTAAAGTGGTTGTGTGGTACGAAGTTAACTACAAGACGTCCCAAAAGAACACATCAAATTACGTTTTTGAAAATGTGACATACACTCAAAACGACAGAAAACGGTTTGGGTGTGACATCCCAAAAAATGTTAAACGACTTGGAGAAAGGTGCTTCGCTGGATGTGCTCTCCTCACATCTGTGGTTGTTCCTAAGGGCATTGAAAGAGTGGATAATGCGTGTTTCTATGGGTGTCTCTCTCTTCAGAGTGTCGAGTTTGCAAACACAGTCCAAGACATAGGAGACTCCTGTTTCTTCGGATGCAACGACTTGAAGTCAGTGAAGTTCCCAAACAGTCTCACGACAGTTGGAAAAGACTTTTTCTATAATTGTGCTTCTCTGAGATACGTTGAACTCCCAGAAAAGGTTGTCAGTCTAGGTAAAAATTGTTTTTATGACTGTTTAAAACTGAGTAAAATAGATATGCCAACTAGTGTGAGTTACATAGGAGAAGGTTGTTTTAAAAGTTGTGCATCACTTAATAATGTTATGATACCAGAAAATGTCCAACAAATTGAAAAAGACTGTTTTAACGAGTGTAGTTCACTTCTTAATATTAAGTTACCAGAAAGCTTGAAGAAACTCGAGAAGTCCTCTTTCTCATATTGTTCGTCTTTGAAAACAGTCCAAATTCCTAAAAGTGTTGATTTCATTGGGGAATTGTGCTTTAATGGATGTCTTGCTCTGATTAAAGTTAATTTTGAGAGTAACACTTGTCGTGTTGGAAAAAATTGTTTCTTGGGATGTGATGGGTTAAACCAGAAAGATATTTTGAAGGAAGTAGAAGCAATAAATATTGTGACTGTGTGAATATAATTTAATGTGAACTTGTTATTTTATTATAAATTGTTTGTTAGTAAAATGTATAATAAACAGTTTTTATTAAGACAGACTCTAAATTTAATTATCATACAAAGAAGTTGATAACACTAATAATAACAATCTACATGCCGTTTAACAATTTTTGTATTAAATTTATTGTGTTTATAAAAAAATTTAAATGAAGTTAAAATTCATTTTGACTTCACATGATAATAAAAATTAATTAACCAAATAAGCACTTTTTAAGTTTTCAAGTAATGTTAAAACTATTTATTATTATGTTTTGCCTGTTCATAATAGGTTTTATCCTTTGCAAAGGCCAACCTCAACAACAAAATATTCCAGATATCATCAGGTATCAACTTCCTATTAGAAGGACGATCCGAATGTTTGTTAATACATATAAAAATTTTATTGGAAATTTAGAAACAATGAGTAACTTATTCCATGAAAACAGACGACACACAACAGAAACGGACAGTCAACATTTAGAGTCGATAAAAATTCGTGAATATGGAATTTTACGATGTTTCAGAGAATTGTTAACTATTCCAACAATCTCTGAAGATGGAATTATGACTTGTTTCAACCGAATGAAAGATTCTTTAAGAGAAAGAAGTTATAAAGAAATATTAATTGGATTTGTGCGTCGGTTAAACCAAATAAAAGCACTCACGGAAGAAGAACATTTACCTTTATCACAAGACATTCAGAGACTTTTATCATGTTTTACTGTATTTTTAAGGATGTTGGAACACTGTTTTACATTTACACACAATTTCATGTCAATTCAGATGTTTAAAAACAATGAATTACTCACAGATTTTAAAGCTAAAATTATAAAATTTGTTTTAAAAACAGAACAAATAGTACAAAAAGTGTCTTATTATAGAGGGTTGACTTTTATTCTACCAGCAGTGCAAGTTGCATTACACAAAGAATTCTTAAAAAAGACTTCTCCAGCCGCCACTGGAGTTTCGATGAAAAGAAAAATAACAATGAAACGAATTAAAGAGAAACATAGAATACAACACAGCGGTCTTTCGATAAAATCTCCTTTGGTTGGAGGGGAAGTAACAACATCTTCTCAAAAAAGAAAAACTGGTGGATTATTTGCAGTCTCTTACAGAACCATACACAAAAGAAAAAATGAAAGTCCTACTCGCCCATCCTCACCGTCTCGACCTTCATCGCCACAGCCAAGTACCAGTGGTCAATAAATAATTTGAATGTAATTCAAATACACATCAGTATTAACTATTAAAACTAAAATATTTTGAAAACAAAAAATAATAATAAAACACATAATCATATTAATTAAATAGGTTATCGAAATAATCAATAATAATTCATTCTGATAGTACAATCACATGATGGTCGTTTCACAACACTTTTTGTTTATAAACAATTTTTATAAATTCAAAACGTGTGTTTAAGAAGTTTCAAATATATATTTAATGAAATAAACAACAATTTCATTTCAATCAAAATTAAGTGTTTCACATAAATTTAACATTGAAATTTTAAATTTTTAGTGTAAAATGATGAGTGTTCTGATTATAATAATTTTGAATACAAAAACATCAACATAATAACATACAAATTTCTTAAGAATAATTTAGTTTAAAGTGAATTTTCAATTTATATGTCACACATAAAAATTGCTCTAATTTTTAATTAAAAATGTTGTTTACAAAAAAGAGAAAAGTTCGACGAAAGCACATTAAATCGGTTTTGCGAATTTGTCATTATAATCTTTAAAATTAAAATTTGAAGTTTTCATCAACTAAATATTTGTAACAGTGTTTTAAAGTGAAGTTACAATCGTTTGTAGTTTTGAATAAATTATTAAAGCATCACCTGTTATAAATGTAAATTTTGATTGTAAATTATTGTATTATTAAGTGTGATGTTCATTAAAACTTTTGAAATGCGATTGTAATTGTCTATCATACTAATGGACTTTTTTAGGCATGCCAAAGTTTACCATTTTTGTTATTAAAAGTGTTGTTTATACACTAATATTAAGTTGTTTTGATGTATAAAATGCACTTGTTTCAATATAAATACATGAATCAATTGTATTATTTGGATAGAGAAGTTTTTGTTAATGTTTCCTTTTGTTGCTCATTTCACTTTCTTTTAATTTAAAAAGATTTCATAATTAATTTTTTATTGTTGTTATTGTCAGACTACAATTGATACAAAAAAGGAAGTAAGTTTATCAATTATTTTTGTTCAAGTTTATGTTTAGGTTTTAAAGTTTTTAATCTCAGTAAGTGTCTCTTAAATTGAAAAATATTTATTTGTCATTTTTTCAAAATTTTGGTTATTCACAAGTTTGGTTCATATATACAAAATGGTTTTTTGTATGTACTTCACTTGATATTTTAAATATATATTTTTAATATAAATGGAATATGAAAAGTATTGTTTACTCTTTTTAAAATTTTTTTTATTGTGTGATAAAAAGATAATTATTAATATTTAATTTATTAAAAAAGTCCAAGAAAAAAATTTTAATTGAATATTAAAATGATATTAAGTGTATTTTTTATAAATATGATAAAATAGAAACAATCCTATTTATTATCATGTGTAAGTATTAAAATATACATTTGAATAATATTTAATCAAAAAACATAAAAACAAAATAATGTGTTAATATGTTTTTATAAAAAGTTTGTAAACAAATAATGTTTGATTTGATTTTTTAAGAATATTTTTGTTTCAAAATCAAAATACAAATTTGATTTCTTGGTATTTTGTCAGTTTGTTTTTTGAATTGTGTTTTGAGTGCATTGATATATTATCTGGTATTTGGTATAAATAAATGACAAACTAATTTATCGTTGTTTGAATGAAACTAATTCAACGACCACATTTTTTGTTATTACAATAAAAAAACAATTTTATTTTTTCATATTTTTTGTGTTTCAAAAGTGATTTTCTATTATTTGTTTTTATTTAAATATAAATAATCATAAAACAAATTATTATATAAGTTAAACTTTACCCATTCAAAATTATTTTTGAAACAAAATTAAACAAAATGAAAAAAATGATTTGAACAATAAAACAAATTGTTCCCAAAATAGTTTCAAATGAAAAGTTTAATCCAAAAATGGTTTTTGAAAAGGTATAAAAAGGTTTTTAAAAAGTACTTATTCATTCAAATGCAAATTCTCTTATTTACTGCCTATTTAATCCTTTGCTCAAAAGCAATCGAAGATACAGAATGTTACACACTCGATGAAACCAAAATGTGTATCAAAGACAAAGAAGGTGAACAAAAATGTAAAGGAGTTCTCACAATCAAAGCAACAGACATGCAACCACTGTGCGAAGGCGCTTTCATGGGTAACCAAGTAATAACAAGTTTTGTGTATCTGCCAGCACAAAAAGTTGAGATTGGTGCAAAAGCATTCAAAGGTGCAACTAAATTGGCAACAGTCACAATAGCAAACAAAATCAAGTCTCTTGGTGATGAAGCGTTCAGTGGGTGTGTTGCTCTGACAAAAATTGATGTTACAGAACTCACAACAATTCCAGCAAAGTGTTTTGAGGGTTGCACTTCTCTGGCAACAGTCACTGGGTTTGAAGCAATCACTTCATTTGGCGAGTCATCGTTCACAAAAACAGCAATGCCAACAATCACTTTTGGTAAGGCGGTGACCGAGTTTGGAAATATGGCTTTCAAAGGAGTTACAGTTGTTACAGATATTGCAATTCCAACAGTCACTTCATTTGGAACACATGTTTTTGATGGAATCACAACTCTGAAACACGCCGATTTGTCTGAAATACAATGATTCCTGAGGGTACTTTTTCGGGATGCACTATGT